GGCTAAGACATGCTGATCTTCCAGTTTAGTTCCCCTACATCGACATGGGGTGGTGCCTCACAGTCTTCTGTAACAGCAGTTCTGGGGGATCTGAAGCTGACCTCTGGCCTCTGAAGATACCCACATACATGTAGCATGTACACATAAGTAAAAATATTAAAATATCAAACATTGTTTTAAAATGCATTCTTCCAGTCAGAAGTACTGTCTTGGGCTGTGGGCTCTGGTCAGTCTGTCTGCTTATCTTTCCTTAGATAGTCTTTCTGGAGGGTTAAGCTGTCTCAGGGCACGTGAAACACCTTTATAAGTACCAGCTTGTGTCCCTGCCCCTTAGGGAAGCATGGAATGCCCTCTGAGGGCTAACGATGCCCTTCTCTCTCTTGTTTCCCTTGATGCTGGGCTGGTACTCAGCTCGTCAGAAGCAGGCTGAGTGACTCCCTGTGTATCTCTCTACTTCTCTTTTTTTCTCTGGGGAGCTCAGTGTCCTGAAAAGCAAGGTTTCCACACCTGCAACATGAGACACAGGTGACATTCTATTTCTAATCCCCTCTGAAGTTCTGTTTGGTGACTTCAGAACAAATGTAGTCATCCAGTGTTTATTTCTGCTGCTTGCTAAGGGTTCAAGCTGAGGAGAGATTAGCTCTTCCCTGCCATCTCCTGAAGGTTGTGAGAAACAGAGGCAACTCATCCTGCATCTTTAGGCAGCATGTGGTCTCCTGAAAGGTCTTGATAAACATCAGCTATGATTATCAGTTAATTTTGCAGTCTGATATGAAAATGTCAGCTTGTATCTACCCATAGAATGTTTAAGGAATTCCACATTACTGAAAGAGTAGATAAACAACCAGGCTATCTTTGATGTACATGCAAAACCATGTCCTCAAGTGCCTCCCACCTTCCACAGGAATTGATGAGGCAAACTCTGAAGAGGACTGGGGTTGGGTGGGACTTAATGGATTTACAGGTATGTGTGTGTGTGTGTGTGAGAGAGAGAGAGAGAGAGAGAGAGAGAGAGAGAGAGAGACATGTGAATGTCTACATGTGTGTGGATGGATGGATGTACACATCCACAGGAGGGCATGTGGAGGTCAGAGGAAGACATTGGTGGTCTTCCCTATCACTCCCAGCTGTATTCATTTAAAACAGGGTCCCTTGCTGTCCCCGGAGCTTGGTGTTCTGAGCAGAGCTGGAAGGCAGGTGATGTCTAATGATCCTTCTGTTTCCAACCCACACAACCAGGGCTGCAGATGCTCAACACCATGTTTGGTTTTCACCTGGGTTCTGGGGAGCCAAATGCAGAGCCTCAGGTTTGCACGATAAGCAATCTTATCCACTGAGCCATCTCTCCATTTTGGCAGTATTCCTTCTCAAATAGTTAGCAAGATGTGTAGAATCCCTTTGGAGGGAATAGGAGTGGGACTCTAGGCCTTACATCACAAGAAATTAGTGATGTTGTGAGACATCGGGCAGCTAACACAGGTAACCATGGATTGGGATGGATGGGGGAAAGGGGGACATCTTAGAAATTGTCTGGGGCATTCAAAGAAAAGAAACTTAACCATTGCAAAACCAACAAATGCTGAGTCACTGTGAGGTGTTCCAGGGAGCACAGATAGACAGATTACAGAGGAAGTAAAAAGAAAACAGGTTGTGTGCGCCCTTTGCCCTCCAGATGGACAACCTGAGGCAATTCAAGCCTGGCCAGTGGGCTGAATGGCGAAGGACCAGATGGGCAACGGGAATCCCATGGAGACAGTTGGAGTCCCAGCTTCCCTCCCATCGTCAGGGGAGTCATCATGTGGCTGGAAATCCACTGATATTTTCAAAATCAGGTCCTAAGATCCTGCCCCATCCCCAAATGTCACCAGTGGGAGATGGTGGAGGAGAACGCTGGCTCTGATTGGTCAGCAGCATATTTGGTTGGTGTTTAAAAAACTGCAACATCAATAATCTCATTGAAAACAGAAGCAAAATCATGGAAGAGCCTATAGCCGTACCCCACTACTCCTGAGTCATAATCAGAAGAGAGTTGTCAAATGTCACCTAAATTGAGGGAAGGGACCAGGTCATCATGGTATCAGATGGATTCCATGGCAATGATGGGAACTCAGAAATACAGCTATAATCCTTATTATTGATGGTCGACTTGGTGGGCTATATATATATATATATATATATATATATACGCCTCTGGGCCTGTCTGTGAGCTATTTGCAGAGAAGTTTAGCTGAGGAAGAAAGAAACACCCAGCTGTGGGTGGCACCATCCTATGGGCTGGGGTTCTGGACTAAATGAAAACGGGAAAGTGAGCAGGAAATTAGCTTCCTGCTTCCTGACTGATGTAATGTGTCCAGCTGCCTCGCACTCCCATGACCACGCAGTCACCTCCATGACAGACTCTTCTCCCTTGAACCATGAACTGACAAAGCTCTTCCTTCCTCGAGGTGCTTTTATCAGGTGTTTTGTTCCCGTAACAAAAAAAGGTAACTTACACAGGAGGCAAAAGCTAACACCCCTCTTTGTTTTTTTTTAGGGGGGCACTCTATTTCCTTCAGTTAGAAGTTGCCAGAAAGAGCTGTAGAAGTCACCTGGCGAGGAAATAGAGTCGTCCTGAAGGTGATAGAAGTCGAGGCTTTACAATGTAAAGCAACATAGATATTTTTAAACTGTGAAGGGACATTGTTCCTGCAGATGTTGGGAGAAGGACTGACCGGGATGGGTCTGGTTCTGTTACGCAGGCTTGGGAAGCTCAGGTGCTTCTCTGTGAGAATCTGTCTTGTCACAACAAACTCTCACATCTGCCAGCTGTGTGGTGTGGGACTCTAAGTGTGATATTTCAGGCCTGTTCAGGTTTTGACTGCTGCATGCCTACCATCTTTCTTTTGAGCCAGCCAGTCTGTGTCGCCAGCCACAGCTTGTAGAATTTTCAAGGACTGAAGGAGGAAGACAGAGGAAGTCCACGCAAGCCTACAGGTACCCTGAGACCTGCACTGAAAGTCATACTTACAGAAAACTGCATACCCCAGACTCTGGGAACAGATTTCTCCAGGTTAGAAACGGGAGCCTGGTATCTAGACCTTTTCCCTAACTTAACTAAAAAAATAGCATCCTTTGAAAAAATAAAGTATATCTTTTGGAATATCAATATATAAAATGGGATAATAAAATAGTATTTTTCTCTGACAAAAATTCATGGATGCGTCAATGCAGGGATTATGGAAAAGTGGGTTTAGCTTTTTGCCAAAAAGTTCGTCAGTCGGGTGGGGTCATACTGTCTCAGCCATCCCACTTCTATCAAAGATGGCTGACCAAAAGGCATCCCCCTACCAGGAAGGCAGAACTTGATATAAGTAGCTTCCTGAGAAGACAAGGGTTTGGGACTAAGGGAGTAAAAAGATGAGGTGTGGCCAAATGTGAGCGACCACGTGTTGGTGTAAGAATTTTTATGGTCAGGGAAAACAGCTATGAACAGATAAGGCTGACCAGCCAAGGGACTTCCTGGAAGCCGCTCGGGGAAGAAGCAGGTGATTGCATGGTGAGCTCAGCAGTATAATCTGATGTATAACTATCTACTGACCAGGAAAAGGCATGTGCTGCAACCACAGACCAAATCAAGAGCTCCAAAAAGAGGCTGTAGGCCTGGGAAGTTGTGTTGTTGTTCAGTGTTGCCTGGCTGCAGGGAGGGAAACAGTATGGGTGTGTGTGTGTGTGTGGCAGGTGTGTGTGGCGAAAGGCTCAGGCTTTGTGGTCGGACTTTTCATGTGACTTGGGGCAGAGCCCGTAACCCTTCTGAGCCCTGAGTGCTGCACTGTGCTACTACTTACCATGAGCGTACACGGAGGTGACATAGTAAGAAACGCGGTGACACAGGAGGCATTGTGCCTGGAAACGGCGGGAAGCCTCAGGAACTCGCTTTTTTCACCTCCCAGAAGTCCACGCCCCTTATGTGTCTGGAGTCACATCATCCGATGGGCTGGTCTGAACTAGCCCCAAGGGGGACTTCAGCCCATTAAAGATGGCCAGTCCATATTGAGATTGCAAGTACAATCAAATTACACACCATACGTGTGTGTGTGTGTGTGTGTGCGTGCGCACGTGTGTCGTCTTTTTCCTAATTTCATAGTGACTGCTTATTGGAAGAGCATTTTAGATATACAATTGGAACAAAGCATCTTACTAATATTAATTTACCTGTTCATACTTAATTTTCTGAAACTGCAAGAAAATTCAAAATTATAGTGGTGTTCTTCTGTTGGGTGGTTCTGTTCTAGACAATACATGAAGACAGGCTCAGAGGCTGTGTGCCAGAGACTCGCTGGCTTTTTCACTTCATATTAAGTTACCCAGCAAGGCACTGAAAAAAAATGTGTGTGTGTGTGTGTGTGTGTGTGTGTGTGTGTGTGTGAGTGCCCACAGAGGCCAGAAAAAGGTGGTGGAGTCCCTTGGAAGTGGAATCATAGGCCGTTGTGAACTGTCTGATGTGGGTCTCCTGCCAGAGCAGCAGCTACTCTTAACTTGTGAGCCATCTCTCCAGTTCTCCCACCACATGTGTTTTAAAGCAGGGTCTCAGGTAGCTCACGTTGGCTTACAACTCACTGTGTAGCCACGGTTCACCATGAACTCCTGAGTCCCTTGCCTCTACCCCTAGTGCTGCAATTGCCTCAGGCTTTTGACAAATGGTGTTATCTGTTGCTCAGCCAAAATGAATGGAAGGCACCCACGTTCCCCATAGCCCTGTAAGGCAGTAGCCACAAAGCAGGAAATTAAGAAGGCCAGGCTAGGCTTGTAGACTTCGTTCGTTAATGGCCAGAGGTACCAGAAGGACACTAGAGGTGGTTGAGGACAGACTTCTCCCTCCCTCTGCTTTTGTCCCAGGGGGACAGGCCCACTCCATATGTCAGAAGATTTCCACACCTTGTACGTGAACTTGGCCAGAAGCAAACTCTCCTCATGTACTCACAAACACAGGTGCAAGGAAAAAATGTTACTTCAACGTCATCTTTAGAAAACCAAGAGTTGTTTCCAGAGAAATGAACAGCAGACATCCACAGACATGAGAAGATTCTTTTTCCTCCCCTCCCAGGCAGCATGGTGTGGTTGGTTGTATTTGAAGAGTGTGCATTTTATCCGACTTTTTTTTTTTTTGAGGAGAAGATGGACACTTACATTCTGACCCTGGGGCATTGCTTCCCCATCCAGGTCAGAAACATGATGTCACAAGAGCAGGTACGCATCATGCCATCATGGCTCCGAGCCACTGACCAGAAGACAGTGGGTTGGTCCCTCCCTTCCCTTCTGTCTTTGGGACCACTTCCTCTATGGATCACTTGGATGGTGGGAATTGTACAGAGAGAAACTGGAGGAGGTAAGGAAGGAAGAGAGGTTTCCTTTGGGGGGGTGGTGGGGCATTTTGTTTTGTTTTGAAGCAGAGTCCTGTATAGCCCAGGCTGGCCTCAAACTCATTAAAAAGCATCCTTCTGCATCCACCATCCAAGTGTTGGGATTACAGGAATGCACAGCCATATCCAGTCCAGGCAGATGTTGAGGATCAAACCCGGGGCCTTGTGTGTGCTAGGCAGGAACTCTACCAACAGAGCTAGCTCCCTGGTCCTAGAAATCTCCTTTCAATGGATTGGTGTGGCAGGAGAAGAGGCAGTTCCTGGTGCCTAGGCTAGCGTGGAAAATGAGTGTGTGGTTTCTGGAGATACTAATCTGGTGATCAGTTGGTTTTTATAAGAACTGGAAAATGATTTGGGGGCAGACTGAGAGAAGCAAAAGAAACAAGGACAGGAAGGTAAGGAAGGGAAAGGGAGGGGAGGGGAGGAAAGAAGGAGGCCAGTGTGGAATTTGGGGCTCCCTGGCTGGAGCTGCAGGTCATCTGCAGAGATAGCATCACTTCTAGCATGTGTTCGTGGGCAGGTGAAGCCCGGAGTGTCTGCCTGTGCGCTTTGCAGGTGGTGTGAATGGTGTGTAGAAGCGAGCACAGGCTAGACTGAACGACTGAGTCAGGAAGACAAAAAAGAGGGAGAGGTAGTGTGCTGGCTGTGAGGAGAGAGCTGGAAGGCAGGAGACAAAGACCAGGAATGACAAAGTCGAGGAGTCACTCTTTGTCCAAAGCAGCTTTTTTCCAGCTGTGTGGGTGTAGGGGTGGGGTTCATGCCTAGGTGAACATGACTTCAAAACTGCTTTCTGTTCCCGTTCCAGCTCCATTACCTCCATGGACAGATACTCCACAGGGAACTATGGGAAGGCACCTCCCCCACCCTGCCACGAACACCCTGAACCGGCTTCGCAAGGAGCATGCAAGGTACAAACTTTGCACACAGAACTACCCTAGTTGGGGGAGAAAAACGGGGCCATGGAGGATGAAAGCCTCCCCCAGGAGGTAGGTAGCCTTGGCCTCTCCTCTGGCTTGATCACATTAGGCAAACTTCATGCTCTGAGGAGAGGGAGGATCATTCAAGGATGGGTTGACCACAGATACCTCGCAAGCTCTGGAAGAAGATTCTTAAAAGAAGGTTCAGCTTCTGCTTCAGACTTCTAACCGTTCCCATTGTGCCATGGCAAGGGAGGACTGCTCCCGTGGCTTGTTCCTGGTTCCACTCCAGTATGTATCACATACCTAGAGCTGGGAGGACCTAGTTCATCTTTGGAAACCTTCTAGGACCTTTTCAGAGTTTGCCAGGTGGGAAACTGAGGTCCAAAGAAAGAAAAGGTCTCTCTCTCCCATGTCATTTAGTGGCCTATTCTTAGGGCTCCAGAAACCAGCCTCAGGGTCTAAAATGCCCTCCTCCTGCCTCATCCACATTCCTAAGAGTTATGGCCAGCAGAAGCTCTTGTAGACCCCCAGGAAAAGAGGAAACAGCCTCATATAAGACCCTTCCACTCTACATCATGAATTCCTTTCTCAGCTCCAATCTGCAGCCTGGGGTTAACTTTCTAACTTAGTCTGTTGTGCCGGGACTGGGTGTCATGTCTGGGAAACTGTGTCATTCACACATCCCAGAGCAGGCTGTGGGGTTGGGCAGGGCTTGTGGGGCTCTAGGTAGGTGGTTCCACAGTATACCCAGAGTTTCGTTGATCTACAATAATTACCTACTCCCACCCCTCTCTTATCTCACCCCTCCAGCCTGCTGGGAACACACTTTTACAAGTAGAGGACACCCTCAGTTATCCAGAAGAATGAAGAGGAGTCTGGGAAATGGAAAAATAAATTAAGAAATCAAAACAACACTGGATCCATAAGCAATCCGAAGCCGCTTGCTTGTCACTACATTTGTGAATAGAAAGGCGGTTTGTCGCCTCTCCAAACACTCAGGGCTCAGTCCGACACATGAGCGAGTCCCATTCCCTGAGCATACCCCGCTGGGTCGGGGGACAGGCCTGGGAAGGTGACACTGGGGAAAAGGGTGTAGCTGGGCGGAAGGACATGAGGCTGTTGACAGGGAGACAAGACTGTCCCTGGATGTAAACATCACCATGGAAACTCCACAAATACTTGCCAGCGAGACTCTGAGCCCTTCCCCTCCCACTCTGAGGGTGGGAGGGAGGCTGCTCCCACCCTGGCTACACAGTACTTTCCATTACCCACTCTGAGCTGCCAAACGTTCCCCGGGCTCCCACCAGGTCACTCTCCTCAAAGGGCAAGAGCATGCCATTGACAGACAGGCTGCGCTTCGTCCAGATGTTTGAGACACGCCTAGGGGGGCTGTAGCCACCAGGGGCAGCTGCAGCTGCAGCCGCAAAGTCCCCCATGTCAAAAGAGTGGCTTCGTTTGGCCTTGCCCTCCAGGGGCAAAGGGAGAAGGCTCCTGGCACGGGTGGCCGGGGGTCCCAGCAGTGGCTCTCGGTCTGAGTGGTGGCCCCTGGCTGATGTCCCTGCCCCTCTCCCTGCTGGAGTCCTGGAGTCTAGAAGCTCTTCTTTCCTTTGACTCTTGAGGTCCAAGGAGGCAAAGGCTCCCATCAAGCGGTCAAGGCTGGGCTTGGAACGAGGAGCAGGGGGTGGAAGCCTCCAGGGACCCCGGCCCAGGCCTGCAGCTTCCCCGCTGCCCAGAGAGCTGGAGGAAGAAGAGTCACAGGCCCTGGCCAGGCTGGTACTGAAGTCCATCAACTCATTCCTCACCACGACCTTGGGGTGTGCCTGAGGAAGCTGCCCAACAGGCATCCCACCCAGAGGCGGAGGCTGGGCCCCATTGGTCTGTGAGTACACATTGCTGACAGTGGCTGCTGCCATTTTGCCTGGGGTGTCCTGGTTGCAGACCTTGTACCGGACCATGAGGATAACGATGAAGACCAACAGTGTGGCCACAATGATGCCCCCGATGACCAGAATCATCGTGCCCCCCAGGATCTGGCTGTGCATAGACTGGCATTGTGGGTAGTCAGCCTTGGTGAAGAACTGGGCGCAGCCCACAATGTTGGTGGCCGTGAGCGTCGTGGCTGTGTCGTCCCACATGGCCAGCACGCACAAGTCGTAGCCCGTCCCGGACACCAGGTTGTTGACCACGAAGGCCTTGTTGGAGGCTGGGATCATCCTGGGGAGGGAGGCAGACACAGAAAATAAGAGAGGGTAGGGTGATGGGGAGCAGTTGTAGGCAGATATAGAGTCACAGAGACACAAGCAGGCCCTCTGAGAGGATGGCAGAGACTGAAAAAGGAGATGGATAAATGTTAGAGAGAAGAGGGAGGGAGGGAAGGAGGAGGGACAGCAAGGAGGAGGGAGGGAGCAGTCAAGAGTTAGGAGTGTGGGACAGAAAATAGTGAAACAAAGAAAGACTTGTGATCTGGAAGATCTAGGAGACAGTTGAGGGTGAAAGAAAAAATGAAAGGAAATATTCTGGCATGGCGTGTCGGAGAAAGGAAGAAGAGAGAACATTCTCACTCCAGGTCTGGGTAAATAAGTACCCCACAGATTCATACATTAAGGCAATGAATACAAAGGGGAAGGGGAAAAGGTGAGAACTTAAAAGTATGGACGAGGGGAGGCATCCAGACATGGAACAGAATCAGAGGTAGTGGCAAAAAGCAATAGGGGAGCGAAGGCACCAGGGAAAGACAGAGAGGTTAGAGGCAGGAAGACTCAAGAGTTAGTGGGGTGGCTGCCCTTCCCCCACACCTGTTGCTAATATCTTTCCACCCACCTCTTAACACCAGAAGGCATCAGAGATCCTGGAGAGCTCCCTGGGCCTTTGCTGTGAAAATGAGAGCCCAGGTCCCACCCTGAGCCTGTGTCCAGCTCCTTACAGGGGTCTTCCTGATGAGGAGGGGACGCATCCTCTGTCCGGTTGTGGCGTATTAGCAGGGGAGAGCATGTAGTGAATAGGGAACCTGCAGCTTAGAGGGGAAGACTCATCCAGGAGATCTGTAGCAGAGTGTCCTGGCTGGGAAATCCTCGCTTGGTCCCTCCACCTTTGAGGAAGGATTGGTAGGTAGCAATGTCTCCACGTGGGAGCTTGTCCATGGCAGCCTGAGCCATGACTGAGAGACTGAGAGAACCTCCCAGAAGCCTGGAAACAAGCTTCAAGACATTTGCCATGCCGTCATGTTTCTGCTCTACCCAGAGATGAATTCTGGGCCACTCCCATGGAGTACAGAGGCCAGCCAGGTGTAAGGACGACCCCTGAAGCTTTCCTGTACTCCGTTTTCCACCTCTAAAGCCTTCCACCCTCCAGTCCCTTGGGAACAAAATGGCTCCATCAGCTCCCATCAGTTCCTCAAACTCAGAGCCAAGCAGCATAATTAAGCCATCAAATATGAAATACCAAAGCGTGAAGACTTCCACCTGAGAACCTGCTGGGATGAAGGGGCGGACAGCTACTGACAACCCATCAGAATGCAGCGCTGGGGGCTACTGTCCTTTTCCACGCTGCTTGGGAGCTTCATTAGAGGAGATTCCCCAAGCTCCATCCTTCCCCTGCCTCGCAGGGAATGGGGTGGGAGAGGCCGGCTAGGCCCTGCAGACTGGCACCTTAGGTCTGTCTGGGGCTTTGCAGCCTTCTTTTCATCCACATACCATGAGCATTTAGAGAGAGAATGTATGTTCACAGACTGGGGAGAAACGGTTGAAGCTCAGAGAAGTTAGATGGTTTGCTCAAGATTACACAGCTAGGACTGTCTGTTCACTCACTAACAGATATGGGAATACGTTTTCTCCTCTTATGGAAGAAAGGTCTTTATTGGAGGGCGTTGCGATTGCTCGCTCAGTGGGTAAAAGAGCTTGCCTATAGCAAATCAGCTCTTCAAAATTGTCTTCCTACTTCCATGCACGTGCCATATGCACACTAATTAACGCATCATTTTAAAAGAAATTAGAACTGTTATCACATTTCATGTATTGGCTTTGTGTGTGGAGGGGGTGATGCATGCCATGCTGTATGTGTGGAGGTAAGAGTCTATTCTCTCATTCTACCATGGGAGAGCCAGAAATTGAAAGGAGGTTGCCAACCTTTGTGGCTAGTGCCTTTAAAACTCCAAGCCATCTTGCCAGGCTATAAATAAAATTTTGTCTAAAGTCCTCCCTGGTCCTGGAACCAACCGGTTACCCGCCCATTTCTCTGCTCAGAGTCTGTTGTGGTTCATATCAAAGATCCCAAGCCTGTTGGATTATCTGCTGGGCAGGATCCAAGGATGTGGCTAGTCCTGCAGGAAATACTGGGCTCCTTCTTCTGGGGTCCTGAGGTGCCAGTCGGAGCAGATGCTAAGGAATCCCAGCAAGAACAGAGCCCACTGGCGACTGTAAGCTAGACGTCTGACATGTTCCTTTTTCGTCCTCTAAGCTCTGTAGGGTTGCCTCTCAGAATCCTCCCTTTCCAGGTGGGGAGGCAGAGCCAGACCCAGGTCACGGAGTGCAGCTATGGGCTACGGTGAGTCAAGGCCTGAACTGTCACACTGGCTTGTGGGCACTGCAAGAGTATACCCCGGAGAGGAGGGAGTCCTGTCCCTGTATCCGGAACGGCTGCTAGGAAACACAACTTTCCACACTTAATGGGTCTAACCTCAACAGCTCTAGGACGTGGGATCATGGGCCTAGAAATCAGTTTGAGGTTAGATGTATTTTAGAGGGAAACAGAAATGCCTATGTCATCTGTGCAAACAACCATAGTGGCAGAGAGGGAAAAGGAGGTCGACTCTGGTAGAGACAGCTTGATGCTCCTGTAGAGGACCTGAGTACAGTTCCCAGCATCCCTGTTAGGCACCTCACAACTGCCTACAACTTCAGCTCCAGGGGATCTGACAGCCTCTTCTGACCTACCAAGAAACCTGTGCATGACAGACACAGAGAAAGAAGGGGGGGAAGGGCAAAAGGAGGGGAAGGGAGGGAAGGAGGGAGGGAGACACACACACACACACACACACACACACACACACACACACACACAGATATAGGGAGACAGAGGGGGGAGAGGGAAGGAGAAAGGGAGAGGACTAAAGCGGAGAGCCCAGCTGGCTGAATCAGGTTTGCTTTCACTAGGAGCAGCCATCAGCCCTTACTAGGTCTCTCTGTGTGCTTGGAGGTTTAAACACATGGATGGATTCACTCACTTTCTTGATACCTGGAAGGCAGTCATTACTGTCGCTCTCACATAGAGAGACAGGAAGCTGCCCGCTTGACAGTTTCCCTTTGGACAGAGCTAGAATCAAGTGGGGATCATGGTGACACCCCCCACACACACACACCCAGTATGTGCGTGTGCGTGCCTGTGTGCGCATTGTACATGGATGCATATGCCTGTGTGTGCATATGGAGGCCAGATGTAAGCCATAGGTATTGTTCCCAGGGGGTCTTGTCCACCTTGACTTTTGGAAATAAGGTCTCTCATTATCTGGGGGGGGGGTCTCTCATTATCTGGGGGTGTGCTTGTTCGGCTTGGTTGGCTACCCAGCAAGCCCCGGGGGTTCTGTTCTCACCTCCCGCTGAGCTTCTGTGACCTGAACTCAGGACTTCGGTTCACAGTCAGCACTCTAATGACTGAGCAGTCTCCCGAGCCCCCAGGAATGACATTCCTCTTCATCCAAAGCAACCATAGCTGTCTCCAGGCATCCAGCAGTCCAACTGCACTAGAGCCATGTGGAGCCGGTGCTACTCAAAATCTAGTGCTTCCACCGGAGCTCATCTCCTACCTGAGTTCTCCACACGGCATCATGCTCCCCGAGGAAAGCCATCCGGTCATCCTTGAAGCAAGCCCAGGATGGCTACACCTCCTCACTCTACCAGATAAACAACCCTTTCCAGCTCCACATTAGTGCCTTTTCACTTTGGGACGTGGAGGAAAAACAACTTAGCTCCTGAGACACTTGCCAAGGGTCAAGGACTACCTGTGACTCACCAGCGGCCATCAAAGCTCCTTGTCATAGATCGCAACCTAGGCTGCCTCTCACATTGTTCTCTGCCCCTCTTATGCGCCCTCCAACTCTTCTCACTCAAATTCTTAAGAGCATCTCAAGTCAGCCGGAGCCTGGAGGGGCAGAAGACACAATCTAGGGCCCAGCTTTAAGCTGAGGTCACAAGGCAGAGGAGATTGCTCAGCAAGAGTGCAAACTGCTTTTGTAGAGGATCTGAGCTCATTTCCCAACACCCACAGGCGGTGGCTCACCTGTAACTCCAGCCCCAGGGGCTCTAATGCCCCCTGCTGGACTTCACAGGTAATCACACTCATAGACACATGATTTTGAAATACTAGTGAATCTTTACATTTCAGGTCTACTCTAAAGGATCGTCTAACATGTATGTACCTGACCATAACTGGTTACGAGCATTCCAGCAACAGTTGAATGTTTCTGAACATGCAGTAGCCCCAAATTAATTCAAAGTCAAATGCACAATACAGTCAATGTGTTTCTGGCAGCGGTCACGCATGCTATATGATGTAACACTGAAGCCTTGATTCTGAACACATGATGTGTGCACATTGCCCTGTCTGTGCTGTCACACCAAGCAAAGCCAATAAGCTCTGACCAAAACAACTCAGGTTAGGCTATTGGATATTGTAGTGTTTTTTTTTGTTTTGTTTTGTTTTTGTTTTTTGTTTTTCTGTGCATGCAGAGATTCTGCTCCTATAGAAACAAACTGGTTTAATTATAGAAAGCAAGAACTATTTTCTTCCCATCTTTGCCCAGCATGTAAGTATCAAATAATACATCTTTGGATTGTACTGTACTTGATGTGAAAGCTGTTGTTTGAGTTGTTGGCTTGAGTTTTATTTAAAAAAAAACAAAAACAAAAAAAACCTCAAATTAAATGAAAAAATTTTGGCTTAGGATTAGGACAGAATTTCTGTCAATTTCTGTCTTTTGAAATGGCCATAAATATCTTTCTGTCATTTTATATTATGTACTTATGTAAAGTGGCATTCTTAGTATTGTAGATTACAAAATCAAAATATCAATCGACTCTTAAAAATGTTGAAGATGCTCCACATCCTTCAGTACCAAATATGCAGCCAAGATTTGATTCTGTGTTTAAAAATAAGCGAGCACATCCATCTCATTAGTATGAAATTTGCTTTGGTCTTCAACACATGGTAAAATTGTATGT